AGTAATTGAGTGTGTTAGAAGTTGATGTATGTAACACCTGTGCTTAATTGTAAGAGAAGTTCTTAAATGAAAATGCTGTAGAATTAAGAGAACTCTGCAGACAATTTATTTAATTGTCGATTTACAAATTTTTGCATTCCTCCTCACTACATTCGAAAAATAAGAAAATTATTGTATGAGAAGTTCAAAATCATTTAATCGATTAGTTTGATTTATTCAAAAGATAGATTATATTTCAGGGGTAAAGTATTCTATCTATAAAGGTGGAAAATTGGGAAATTTTTGAAAAACTGCTTGAAAAGGTTATGCAACCGGATCTTTCTAATTGTGCAGGCTACAAGTCAAGTCTAATTCATTTGAATATTAATTGTTTAGTTTAATTATAACACTAAGCATCGGTCACATTTATGAAGTAGACATTCATAGATTAATATTTAAAGTGAAAACAGGCGTTTTATTAGACATCTGAAAATAGCATTTCTTCTGGATTTAAAACTTGTAAGTAAATACTTTTAAACTTTACTCGGGAAACATTCCTTTTCTTTGGCTGGAATAGTTTACAACTCCTTAAGCATTATTACCCCCTTATAGCCGCTTTTCTTTATGCTTCTATTTCATTTTCGTAACCCTTATAACAAACTTGAACTCCTGAGAAGATGGTAAAGTTTTTCTTTAGAATAACTGTCGAATTTCGTGTACTTAATAGTTGTTTAACTTTTTTACATCCGTAACTTTTCTATAGTTGTAACAAAAAACAAATACTATTCCGCCACAAAGTGTCCCATTAACAAAATATTTTAGCAACAGTACAATCTTATGAACTTCTTCTGGTCAATATTTCTGGATTTATATTAAAGTTTTCATTTAAGTTTACGCAGTCTGGATAATTATGCATAATGTAATGCAATTTTATATTTTTTACCTGTGCTATTGATGAGGATATCGTGGATAGAAAAGGTTAGAATGAAGGAGGTATTAGAAAGAACAGGAGAACAGAAAGCGGTTGTCATTCTCCACATTTCCCAAAAACCGGTGTCGGAATTTATGCCAAAAAAAAAAAAATAGAATATCAGTCAAAATATAAAACACAAAAATAAAGATTACACATTACACAAAAGAACAAAAAAAACATGTCAATAATTTTAATTTCTCCTAAGAAATAATCAAATAATGAAAATTCAGCTTTTAGTGTCTTTGGATATGTATAGTTTTCTTCAGAGTCTTTAAGAAGCTTATGAATTGATTTTTCCATGGCTTTGTATAAAAAAGCATTACTCTGATGTGTTATTCCTTATAAAGATGTTTGTTTCAGAAAAATAATTAAACGTAGCTAGTAAAAAGTATGTTATGGATTCAATTCATCTTTTGGATCACTTGGTTTTTTTTGTTGATTTTTTTCAGTTTGTAGCCCTCTGACTTGAGATTTAGCTAAGAGGTTACGGTTTTCATAAATTCTGTTCAGGTACCGTGAAAATCTGTTCTGCAAAGGGTCATACAGAGAAAGGAAGAGGGTCTTTATCCACTGAAACGTATGATTATGCAGTTAAATAATAGAAATTCTGACCTACAAGCTTTATTGAAATGTATCCTGATGAGGCTTTATACCCTTGGTTTGCAATTCACGTATCGCTGATTGATTAGCAATTTATAGAAACCATCAACAGGTAGATATTATCTTAAATGACACTGCACAACATAATATACTACAATTCATCATCATCATCACCATAACGTCGTCAGTCTTAAGACTAGTTGGACACGCACCTACAGCCCATCTCAATTTGTTTGAATTGTGACCTTGAAGAAATCTGCGCGAAGATAGAAAGAATACACACTAGGCGTGAGCAAGAGAGAAATAGTTGGAACAAACTTGAACGAGCAGAGCTCTCGATGGGAACTGTACAGTACTAGACGAAAATGTTTAGAAATTTCTTAAAACAAAAATGTATCTAAATTAACAATAGAAAACAAAGCAAAAGTTTTATAGGTGTGTAGAACGTTAAGTTAATTCACTTGTTATTATTTTTGGCTAAATATGCTTTTAAATAAAGCATATTTTTAAATTTTAACGAGGCAGTTTAAATAATTTTGCAAA